ACTGAAGTCTTCAAATCTCACGCATTCTCTCTGATTGTGATCAATTTAGGTGAGCTAAACATCCTACATTTCTGAAGTGCACAGTACTCCGTGAAACAAAAATGAACCCCAAAACACAAAATTTAAATTGATCTGTGGCCGAGTGACTGAATAATGCTCCAAGTGTTTGCAGTGTTCTGCACTACAATCATGTAATTGCAACCCTTCATTTTTTATTTTTTTTAATCTTTGTTGGCTATACACAGCATGATATGCCAGTTGAAATTGGGGCAGTTTATCCAGTATTTTCTTAGAAACGTTTTCTATACAAAAGATAAAAAATGCATCTTTAAAAGGCATAAACACCCTGCAGAAACTTCCATTAGCAAAGTAAGATTTATTTTCCTTACTCATCTGCCAAACAGAAAAATTCTCTTTTTACTTCAAACTCAAAACCACCCTATCTATGAAGAGACCAAATCTGGAGAGCGTGACCCCCAGCAGCAGCGGAAAGACAGCCTGCTTACAGGGAGCGCTGCTGCTCCAGCTGTTACGCAGCTCTTGTCGTACGCTTTGCCAAAAAATTACAAGTCATCCCGAGACACTGATGGATTGTACAGACTCTTCAATATTTTAGAAGAGACACCAACCCCTCCTCCACCTCCTTATGCCTTTCTATGTCTTTCATGATGAACTTCACAAGGCCCACTAGCTTTTAAACCTAACAACGGTAGTTGTGATGCCTTTTTACCCAAAAGCATTACTTTCTTAAATCCCATCAATGCAAACAGTGATTGTAAATCGTCATCTTAGCATACACAAGCCATTAACTTGATCTTTCTGTCAAAAGATGTGCTAGTTGTTTGCTTTAATAAAACAAAAGTTGTCTGGATTCTTACTCCAAAGCAGCCATGGAAAACACCCACTGATTAAAAACAAAGATGCAACTGATTTTTGGTACTGGCTCTGCACCTTGATAATTCAGATATGGTTAATTCCAACAAAGGAGAAAATCGCTTCTTCTGAATGGTTTTGGCTGCTTTTGTAGTATTATTAACACATCTAAAAAACTCCTATATTCATTAAATCACTGGCTATTCTGTTTTTTTAATATATGTAACAAAAGGCAGTAATGGCAGTGGCTGCTCCAAAGCAAACACAACAGATTCTCATGGAAAACTGCCACAGGTCATAAGCACCTACAAACAGCAATCCTCTGTTTTTAACTCTTCGCTGCATTTCAGGAAGAAGAGAGCGAATAGTCTATAGCCTACAGCCCTGCGACACATGTCACAAGGATTCTCTGGCATTTAATTAAACAGCACCGTGGGACCGCCGTCCTTCATGCCAAGGGACTGCACACCTGCTCCGCAGACAGCGCTGCGGCAGGATGAACGCACGAACGGCGGCAGTCAGCGGCGAGCTGGGGAAGGGGAGCCGCGTGACTCTTGCTACGACATCTGGCTGGCACTGTGGTGGTGTTATTCATTAGCTGCATGACAGTAGGCTACCACTGAGAAACCTCCCCGTTTCCGAATGTGACCTGTCCCATTTTTCTTCCCTACTGTAGAGGAAGTCGAGACATCAGTGCCATGCAGCGTACGGACGGCTGGATCTACCACCTCTTGACTCCTGGTACTTCCAGTGCCGCACAAAATCTGCTCCTGGCGTTAACATCACACATGGTGTTTCACATAGAAACCAACAAAGTACGTCGCAGCACACTACGCTGATGTACCCTATTGCCGATGACAGTTTGGATGAGAGGCCTCTACAACAATGGACAGGGCTACAGTAAAAAGGTCTTGCTACATTCTCTTTCACTTGACTTAATTTATCTTTTCTGAATATTGCATTTAGAAAAACAACAAACCCTTGCAGTAGCATACTCGCTGGCTGCAAAATACAGGACTTATTTCTTCATTTAGCTTTATCTTACGAATTTTTTAGAGTCTTGGCCAGAAAACAAGAGTTATTCCTGGCTTACTCATTTCTGCTACTAGTTGGCCTTTGTTACACTCACTTCAGAAGTCTGTATAATGCCAACCACCATTAAGGCCTTGACTTCACTGGAGGGTTTTTAATCAATACTATAAAACAGTAAACAACTGAGAATTTCAATTTGTTGTTTTAGGATTACACAACTTACCTTGCATGCAAAGTAGATGTAAAATGGATAAAAGCTTTTTGATTTTAAAAAGTCTGAGATTTTTTTTGCCAAAATCCGACATACAAATGAGGGTGATGGGAAAGTTGCTATCTGTTTCAGTGACATACACGAGTTTTGTCCCTGCCATATACTGGTACTTTCTCTTTTGTTATCCAAGAAACACCACTAAATCAGAGCTGAAACTACTTTTTCGTCTCTGGAAGAGACTTTCAAACACCACAATGATGGATCAATAATTTGTCTGGATGCGGTATGATGGGGGGGGAGAAGTGAAACACTCAGATACTAATGTGAGAAAATACATTCAGAAACACAGACCTTAAAATAAGCCTTTTGTGACATCAAAGTCCCTCTGATAAAAAGACTGAGAAAAGCTGGGACAAGAAAAAATTCCTGAAAATTTTGCAGAACATAGCGACCTTATTGACATGACAGTCTCAGACCTAACTAAATTAATAGAAAATATTTTACTTCTACATTTATGTCAGAGTCCTCACTAAATTTACCAGTATCATCTAGATATTTTTTTTGCCAGTGAAAAAAAAAAAATCAAGGTTACCATTTTAACATAGCGTGCATCAAAAGAATAAATTAAAATTCTGGAGCAGTCTCAACACCGAAATAAAATAAGACCTCTGCCTTTTAAGAACGCATGTTAAATGGGTGGATCTCAATTTCTCAAATTTACCTTCATTCATTATTTTAATTGAAAGCCACAGCGAGTAAGGTAAAATATTCTTAGACAGGCAAAACAGCTAACAATTTCTGTGTATATTTATGAATTCAACTAAAGGAACGACATTTTTATCTCAACTAAGTGGCGCACTGAAGTTCATGATAAAAAATAAGAGAACAAAATAATACAAATTTTCAGTAGTTCTACAGCTAGTCTTGGTGACCTTCGCTTTTACAAAATTAAAGAGGAGATATTTTGGAGACTTGATGAGAAACAAGCCCCCAGATTTTATTAGGGCCGTTAAAGTAATTCTGGCAACTGAATAGAGAGGGGACCTTGATGCCGAGATGAAAAGACTGAGCAGTATGCAAAACACTGACTCTAGTGATGTAGAAATAAAGACAACACAGCAAAAGGCAAAAAAAGAAATACTAATTTGTACTGCACTACATGCTTTCTAACTGGCTGTGCGCCTGTACTGGCCAAGCTACCACGCTGGGGTGAGCTACAGGTTACTGGTTTCATTTAGCATGGATGTAACTGACGACCACTTTTATTTTAAATGAAGAAACACCAAAGAGAGGGATGTGACATCATAGTTTTGAAACTGACTTCTACAAAAAACAAAGTGGATTATTGTTTGAGCTCACAAAAACCATGGAGAATTTTTCATTATATCACTAAACTCATAATATCTGTGCTTACGTAAGAGATGATTCCCTGGAGTTAGCAAAATCATGTTCTTCCTGACTGAAGTCAATTGGTTGAAACACAAAACTCGAAGAAGGGCTTTTTCCCCTTCTTTTCCTTTTATTCAAATGTTCAAGTTGCCTAAGCACACTATAAGTTATTAAATTTCATGGGGAGGATCCAAAACATGAAATCATTTCAGCCAAAATACAGAATACACTGGCAAATATTTAATTCAGTAAAGTAATTTTAGATGCTCTTCTTCCCTCCCACCCTCCACCCCATTTTTGTATTAAACTATGGAAATGGTACTGGGCAGCTCTAAACTGTAATCATTAAAAGGAGAATCCATTCTGGACTTCTGAAAGCAAGCAGCCTAGCTTAAACATTCACAGAAGTGTATTGCGTACTCAGACATATTTGAAGAAGAAAGTTAGTGCTCTCAGTGGTGATTTAGAAAGTCACAGGTGCATCGGTTCCTTCTGTTGCAGAAAAAACCAAAAGAACAATGATTTTCAACAGCAAACTAAAGATGAGAGCTTTTTTATGTTCTAATAGAAAGGAAGGACAGAGAGCTTTTTAAATAAGCCAAATTACAAATTTTCTTAATACAGCATAATTATAATAACAAAGTTTGACCTGTAACTGCATGTTAGCTTTCTGTACTAGCAGCAATAAGTCATAGCTGTAACAGTCTTCAGGTCCCAGTTCAAGAAGCCATTCTCAATCCATGTGGCTCAATAATTTATATATTATTTCCCATTGACACTGGAGATAACTAACTGGACCCTCATGACCTACTTGGAAGACTTGGAACAAGTCAGGCTCATGCTCAGTGAGCGACTTGGGGGCACAGCATCTCCACCGCAAGCATGCTGTGCTCCACTATTTAACCAGGGAACCTTCTCAGCCACCTCCTACCACTCTCTCAGAGCTTTATGGTGTCCCAGCCACTTCCAGTAGATAAACTTGTTAGTTCAGGTCTGCCTTAACCACAGAGCAGTCCCAGTAGCAAATGCAGTGGTGACTTAGTTAAAAGTTGTAATGGGGATTGGAAGAAACACAAATTATTATAAAACACGTGTGTGTATATTTTTAATAGATGGCATGGCATTAAGGTGCGATTAAAAAATGTAACAGCATACTTTGTCAATATAGAGAGACCACTGACAGGAGCTAACCTGTAAATGACTGCAGAAAAAGACAACAGCAAAAGCCATCAGAAGCCTGGTTTCAAAACCAAGTTTGGGGAAGTAAATGGGATAAATAATGGCAAAAAATTATTATTAAATAGCTGTATTTGATACTTACAGTACAGCTGACTATTACTGGCTTTTTAAAATCAAGAAATTGCGCAAGCCATTCTCTCACATGCACAAATTATAACTTGTCTTTAATAAGGAAGTTTCAACTGTCAAGAATATCCTTGAAAATATTACAAGAAACATTAAAAATAATAAGCAGATTTAAATGTAATTTACCAACCTTCTTGTAGTCAATTATATTTCCTTTTCCTTGTGCCTTAAAGAGAAAGAAAGATTCTGTATAAGATATTACATACTACAAACCAGAGCTGCGAGAATAAAGCAAGCAATTAAAAGAGTTACTACTTTAAACCCAAGCAACTTTCTTTAGGAATCTGATATCGAAAAACTTGAAATACAACCAAATGTGTTACCAGCTTATACAACATGGTTCTGTTTCAGATGAGAGCTGCAGATACTCAATGTCACTCCTGTTTTTTTTTTTTTTTAATTATGACTTGTAGTTAAACATTTGTTGAATCCAAAAATGTTTTGGTCTTAAGAAATCTTGCTGTTTGCATTAATTAATCTCTCCCATGAGATTCTGAAATAAAGTATACTTTGTATCAGCAATAACAGGATTTAATTTCTTAAAAGAGGAGTCTCCCTGTACCTATAGTGATTTGCACATAGTTAGTAAGTTTAGAGCTCTCAAACGGGGATGCCAGGACCATGTCAGCGCTACTACACCTAGGTTAGATATGTTAATTGTGCTTTTGGTTTAGAACTGTATATAAGCACACAGCTTCACCCTTTACTTCAGCAGCAGACACATACAACATATGACTCCGAGTACATTCAGAAAGAAGTATGAATACATTTTAAAGTTCTTCTCACCCAGATGCAGAAACTACAGACACAAAATTCCTTGATTTTGTTACAGGGTGATGCAGAAGAGAAGCTGTCTACATCTTTCTCATCCAGCGGCAATCCTCTGCCAGACCCAGAGTGTTCCTGCTTAACCAACCTGAAGCCGTTCCCTTAGCTCAAATCTGGCTGTATCATTATCACCTCGTCCACATCCAGCTCTTCTCTTTTCAGACACATTGAGAAAAAAAAATCACCACCGTTTTTTTCCCTCTAGCCTCCACAAGGGAAGGTCACAAACCTCAACCCTTCTGGAACGTGCCTACTGCACGGCTGTAGATTAGGACCACTACCTCTGTGGGGGCTTCGGAGAGCAGCCAAGAGGAGCACGCCAACTGGCATAAGGAGAAGAGCTGAGGCCTGCACTGAAGCGGAACGCTACATGGCAAGCACAGCTTTGAAGAGATGCTGCAGAGATGGCACAGATTTGGAAAACAACTTAACTTTGGCAAGGGGGAAAAATAGAAAGAGAAAAGAACCGACGAGAAACTAAGCAAGCAGAGCAGGAAAGAAAACTGTAGATAACAAAACTGATTCAACTGAAGGAGAAAGGAGACTGATCCACACCACCTCTTTACTACTCTCTTTAAGTTTCTTAAGAGTCAGCTTTTCTGGAATACGTATTAAAAAACAGCCTGAGAGCATCTGGGAGCAGCAAAACCACTGCCAATAACTGCTTCCTTATTTGTGTATTCCCATCGCTCTGATTTGCCAACTTTTATTCACACCGGTTGGATCTTACGGCTTCTTCAAGATAAATCTAGTAGTTACATTGTGTATCAGAACACACCAGAAACACGTTCTTTAACAAACGATTGCCTATATGCAGATTCGCACTGCAGCGGAGAATCTGCCAACGTGTTTTGAGGAAGATGCTAGGAAGACTACAGTTCTAGCAATACCAGAAGAGGTGTGCTCAGCGTGCCTCCTCCTGCATATAATACACATTGCAGACAGCAAGCATCTTTTCTTGTGCTCTGTTCCTCTCAAGCATTCAGGTCAATGGCAGTTGTGCTTCTGCAAGCAGCAACCTTACCTAATCTGTTTCCCAAGCCTTCTTTACAACCACTGCACCTCTGCTTTTTCTTTTCCTTTTTATCCTCACAGTAGATTTGCTCTGTCTTACTGACCCTGATTTCAGACACACAGATTTTTTTTTTCTTCCTTTTACAACGGACTTCTGTGTCTGGTTTAGTGTCCTCAAAGGTATTAAGCCTGATTTGCAAAAGGTATGCACTCTTGTCAAACCTGGCTGACTTTCTAGGTCTCACTGCTTGGCTGGGGAGCTCAACCTCTGGACACTGGGGCTCTGGGCCCTCAGAGAAAAGCATCTGCTTACCAGCATACAAGAGACATGAACAGCCAGCTCAGCTCAGCCTTCCTCCTGAACACCAGAGATCACCATGGGCCAGTAGTGAGGAACCGTAATGCCATGACATTCTTCATTAATAAATGAGGTGGTGTGAAATCAGCTCGCCTTGCCAGGAAGAAGGATCCCTGAACCCCCCAGGAAATGACTCAAAATGCATCAGATAAGGGGACCACAAGCTGAAGATTTAAGACCATGCTTTTGGAGGAGGCTTTCAGGATGTTTTCCAAGACTGACTTTTCCTTCTCAGATGATATTGTCCCTCTTACATCTGTTTTTAAAACCTACACTTGAGAAATGCTTGATAAAGCATTTGATGAATGCTTTTCTTCCAGCCCTGCCTCTTCTGAGAAGGCTCAGAAAGATATGGTGAAAGGCAGATGGATTACTTTGGCCTAGTAATCTAGGACTGTTCTAGTTTCTGACCGATTCCTTTTTAATATTACAAATGCTAGACCTGTTCTTGAGGGATTCTGCTTAATTTCTTCACTTAAACTTTGATCTTTCATACCTCACAGCTTAGATGTTGGATGCCTGTTTAACCCAGAGAATTTTTACTGTTGTCTAGCGAGAGGTATCCATAAGTGGCTAAAAGCGACCAACTCTTCTGCCTTTTGACCCCTAGGAAATCCTCTGTCCTATAATCCTGGAATATCTGCTACATTTTAAGAATACAGGGCTTTCCAAAAGCTCAGTGGGACTGCATTCAGCAACTATTTCAACACCTTCTCTGAAGAAGCACTGCTTTGTCTGTTTACCACAGTGTTTCCCAGGAACTATTTCGGGTTGGGTGGGTTTTTTTGTGTGGTTTTTTTTGTTTGTTTTTTTTTTGTTTGTTTGTTTTTAGTTTCTAAAGCATTTCAGGACTCTACTCCAACCCATATTCCTTTTAAAATAGACACCTGACCAAACAGTTCATCGGGCATAGTTTTAAATGCACAAAGGTGGAGGGTTTTGGTGGTGAGGTCAGTGAGAATAGGAAATAGGTCTTTATGGATGATCATTCATTCATGTATATATATTATATATGCATACACACACACGTACACATACCTACACATTTTTTTTCCTCCTATGACAAGGCTTCCTCCTATACACATCCCTTTTAAGGCAGTCTCTAGATTTTGTCCAAATCAGAATCTAATCTTCTCAAAACACATATACTCAGCGTTGCTGCAACCTTCAACACCTGAATTTCTAATATATTTTCCTCCTTTCAAATGAAGGGACAAGGTGGCTTTTAAAACGTCTCCAGCTCAGTGGCAGAATGGTGCATACGGCTGCCTCCACTCAAAGGCCACCTTGGGAACAGTGACTGTATCCAGACCTCTGATGAGAGAACAGTGGTGAAACAATCACACAAGTTCTGGGCACCCCACAGCACCTCAGGGATCCTTCATGACCTCTCTGCAGACTGCTTTCATCTAAGATATGCATGACAGGCACTGAGTCTCAGCCACGTGCTTTCTGAGCAGTATACCACTGTGGAACCTACTAGGTGCAGTGGGGCTCTCTACATCCACTTTCTGGAGCTCCAAGACCTTCTGCAGGAGGAAGAAGCTGCTGAGAGGAGGTGCTGCTTTTAATCCACTGTATGAATGCTTATATGGGCAAACAATCACAGGAGAAAGCTAGATTACTTTGCAGTAATTAAAGGTCCATAACATGACTTCCATATGCCTAGTCATAAACTCAGCTGCTAAGAAAAATTGTACCTGACAGGGACCGAGTGCACTGTGCGTGCTTTGCCTATTTAAACCACACAAACGACATTGCACAAGAGGGTGGCTTATGAGCATGCTCTTAAGGGTACTGCCAATGTGAGACAGTCCCTGATTTGAGTGCTTGGCCTACACTGCATGTCACAGACTGAATGTGACTATGGATGACATCTCAAAGAGCTTGTAGTTAATGAAAGGTAATTTTCCATTCTAAATCAACACAAGCCAAAAAAGGCTCCTGGATGAGGTGTTCCAGTTTGTATGGAGCTAAAGCAGTAGTTACCAGATACTTCTGCATAGTGCATGTGACTTCCTCCCTCCCTCCCTTCAGAGAGAACCGCTTCACAGTTTCCAGAATGCCCATTTTCAGTATGAGAATTAGCGAGCAGACAGACGGCACTCCTGGAGTCCTGCAACCTCCTCCAGACCCTGCAGATGGGAAATTGTTTCAAAGCTTTTATACACTGTGCTGTGGTAATACCATTATTCTCCAACTGCAATTATCCAAATCCATTTACATTCAACTTGCGTATGAGCCTTGTGTTGAGATTGCAGAATTCCAAAATTCCTCATCACGCATTATAAACTACCAGCCCCTAATTTCAAAATGACAACAGGTTGCTTCACCTCAAGATCTCCCAACTCCATACCACTGTAAGGTTGTAGATTGTGCATATACTTCCCAAAATTTCACTGCTGAAAAGACTGTGCTGCTTGCTTGCGGTCTGTGAAGACACGCTGCAACCTGGCCTACCATGAACGCAGAACTAGGCAGAGGCTCAGGCTCCACACCCTCCACCAGAGAGTCCTGCTTTCAAACTAGCAAGGAAAGGAGCCATTGGCAAGCACATCTTGAATGAATATGCTTGCACAGAGCTAGCTTCTTACTGAAGGCAGCAGCCTTTCTACTGAAAAATCTGTGTAACAACTGCAGAAATGTCCAAGTGATAGTCA